TGGAGGTCAATCTGGTTTAGGGAACAATCGGGTACTGGGGCTCAGTGATATCATCAGGATCTTTCTGTGTTTTTCCCTCTGTCGTTGCCTGTGTCTCAGCTCTGCTTTTTCCTATGTTTGCAACATTATGAGGCAGATTCTTCCCACATGATGACAAAGATGGTAATCAGCAACCCCAGGCTTACATTCTCAGGCGTTAACAAGCCGAGCAGAAAGAGAGTGCCATTTCTTTCCTAATAATTCCAGCAAAGTCTCAATTTGACTCATATTGGTACAGTTTGTCTTAACTTGCCCATTTCTAAATCCACTGCTGTGCCCGTTTGGTCTGGTCTAGGTCATATATCCACTTCTGGAACTGGGTGAAGGATGGGGTAAGGGTATCCACTCTACTACAACTACATTAATGACTTAAGAGGAGTTGTGATTTCCCAACGGGAAATCAAGAAGGAGAATAAGATGTTGGGCTTATTTATTGACTTATTGATTTATTGATTTTAATATAATTTATTGTCAAGTTACCTAGCATACAATGTATACAGTGTGCTCTTGGTTTCTTGGTTTTGGGGGTAGATTCCTGTGCTTCATCACTTACATACAACACCCAGTGCCCCCCTTCCCTGCCCCCCCAATCAACCCTCAGTTTGTTCTCTGTATTTAAGGGTCTCTTATGGTTTGCCTCCCCCTCTGTTTAAATAGCAGTTGTTCATTTACAGTATCTACTGACAAAACAGAGCCCCAGATTTGAGTCACTTGCAAACTTGTTGGGAACAAAAGATCATTAGAGGGAACCATTTTCCTCCTCCTCACATCTTCCAACCTTGGTCCTTAAAAGTGGGACTTTGACCTCTTTGTAAATATTGAATAGAGTTTGTGCTATTTTTTCTACCTCTCACTCACTGTTTTTATCAAAGAGGAGAGGTGACTTCTATGTTTGGTGAGATCAGGAAGAAAGGTTGAGTATGTGGGGCTCAGACCTGCCTCCCCCCCCCACCATGATGTTGCCATGTGGTAACTGCCTTGAGCCTAGGCTTCTTGGTTCTTTGTCTTGGTTCCAAGTTAGTCCAGTTTGACGTGGAGGAGGTGGAAGTGACAGGTATTAGAAGCCACTTGTGACCACAGATCCAGGCCACATTTTCCAAGCCTTATCAGCAATAAAGCTAATATTTTCGTCTTTGACTCCATATCTATTTTTCAAATATTTGTAAATGTAGCTGGGCAAATGAATATGCCTGATGCTTCCTGAGTTGGTGTGCAGGGTAAGAAGTGCACCAAGTTAGGAATCAGATTACCTAGGTTCCAGAACTAGTAGGTAGGTCACTTCCGTACTCTGGGATTCAATTTTCTCATTTAGAAAACAAGTGAGTGGGCTCTGGAGAGCTCTGAGGATATTTCCAGATCTAACATGTCATGATTATCGTTGGGCAGTGAACTGAGCCTTGAAAGAAATACATGATTCAGATTTTGAAAGAGAAGGAACAGAAGAGTTACTGAGAAGCTCTCAGGGATGAAAGCATTTAAAGAACTTAGCATGGTAAATATGAAGAATAGAAAGAGGCAAGGCACTTTTCCAGCCCAGACATTTGCAGGCTGATTCACCTTGACAACCACTTAAGTTTATGCACATAAAAGGATATAGAGGATTTGACATAATGGCAGGTAGGAGGAGTTTCACTGACGCATGACTTGAGAAATCCTCTACTGATCTTATGAACTGGTACACGCTTAATAAAGATTCTAAGCAGGAAGATGAAAAAAATCACTAGATATAAATATTTAGATCTCTATAATTTATATCTTAAAGAACAGCAAAGCAATGGGACCACGGACTAACCACCTATGATTACTTTTCTTGTCTGGACTCCTTGTCCAATGAACATAGTAACTTTTTTTTTTTTTTTTTTTTTTTTTGCTTGGCCTCCATTTTATAAGTTTAACATTGATTGTATCTGGCTTCTCTGACCTTGTCCTATCTTTGATTCTGATTCCAGATCTAACATGTCATGATTACGATTGGGCAATGATAAGAAAGCATAATATTTTATGTTAAAATGTAAAATTAAATATAGAACTCAAGTTCTGCACCTAATGGCTCTGAGGGACCCATCTGGGTAGATCACACTTATGCACCAGAAAAGCTATGAATGTGTTGATCGTGTCTCATCTTGTCCTCATATTTTCAGGCAAAAGCTCTGACTTCCTAACTTAAAGTCCTTCTGACTGGTACAAGTATATACTCAGAGACATCTTTTACATTTGTGTTTAGTGGTTTTATTATTGAGTTACTGATTATAAGGAACCCTTACATGTGGCCATAGTTAACACGTGAAGGAGTAAGAATGGCAAGAAGGCATTTGTTCACCACTGGAGCCTATTATCTGGCTCAGGGTTCTTTCTGAAAATTACAGCAGTTCACCGGCCTAAGGTACATGGAAAGGAGGGCCTGACCTATTATCTAGCCTGACCTATGACACTAGAATACTTGCTAAGCTCCAGCCAGAGTTACCACATCTTCATTCTTTAGCAATGACCCTGGCCTGTAGTCTTGGACAGTCTTAGTGACTACCACTCCCACAGCCCCTTAATGAAGAGATTGGCCCCAGGATTCTTTCTGCATAAAGTTACTAGAGCCTATGCCATATGCATTGAGAGAGACTAATGCTAGGAATATAGTTAACTCCAGCCAAGATAGGTTGAACCAGAGATGTGCACATTATCAAAGCCGACCATTATCTAAGACTGTTTGGCTTGAAACGCTGCCTTATAATAGTGCTCTATACTAAAAAGTACTGATGGCAAGGGCTAACATCCATAGAATGGACACGAAGAAGGTTATGTGTCCTTGTGGTGGATTATTGAGAGATCCAGCTCTTAGAGGCCCTATAGATATAGAGGAGGTAGGGAAGAAGGAGCTATAAGTGAGGTTCTGAATGAACCCTGATAATCCAAATCTAGGAATTACTTGGATTTAAAATATCTACATGGATAAGAAGATGATATGTTCCACTGAAAGACAGTAGAGCATAAAGTTGGGAGCAGTCTCTGGAGCCAAATTGCCTATGTTTGGATACTATTCCTGCCACTTAGTAGCTCTATGACCTTCTACCAGTGACATCAATTCTGTGCTTTAGTTTCTCCATCCGGAAAACAACAATAATAACAGCACCTACTAGATCAATTTTGAGTCTGAAATGAGCTAATACACATTGAACACTTAAAACAATGTCTTGCACATAGTAAGTGCTCAAAAATATAAGCTTTTAGTGTTATTTTATCCTGGTACGTAAGTGAGGCAGAGTAATTTGGTGAGATACTGTGTTTATTCTCCCTTTACTTTCCCTTTCTTGTATTCCAAAAAAGGAATGGACTATTTTCTTTCCTGGGGAGAGAGTGGGTTGCGTTGCAGGGTCCAGAGTCTGTCTTACCTGGAATCCTAAGCATATTGTAAGGATTATGCTCAAAGGAGGGGAAGGAAGTAGTTGACTTTAGAGTAGACAGAAGAAGGAGTGAGATTTCTCCAAGCTTTGGGAAGGACTGACAGTTGACAGTTGGGGAGTAGTAAGATCTGGGGCCACCTCCTGACAGAACCCCTGGAGGTACTGTATCTTTGGTCAACTTTAGGAGCTCGATTCTAGGTGCCGTGGCTCTCCCCTAGGCGTGGGAGAAGCGCAACTGCTTGCTTTTACGACACCGTGCAGGCTTGGACGAGAAGGCATGACGGCCTGACGATTAGAGATTCTTTCCCTATTTGACACTTGTCACACAAAGCTCCTGAGTATCTGTGTGATCCTAAGGAGTGTAGAAAGCTCCAGAAAGTGATTGGAATTTAATTTTTTGCCAGTCTTGCAGCACAGAGATGTGCAGTTGAAATACATTTGGCTTAAAGGAAATGAAGAAATGTGATAGTTCTCCCATCCCCAAGTTTGTGGCATACCACTCATACCAATTACACAATAAATCATCATTACCAAAAGTAATTTGGTTGTTTTGTAAGGTCTTTTCTTTATAATGTTAGAAAGACTAAATTATAGATAATTTTGCGCTAATAAGTTACAAGGAAAAGATCCTTAAAGGGAATGAATGAGAGGTCAGAGGGGTGGAATGAGTAGCAGTGAGGATTCACCCATGTGAAGTCATTGTTTGTACTGGCGAAGTTAATAATTAAGATGTCCTTCAGAAGTAAGGGAAGGCTTTGGAGCACATGGTATCTGTCACTTTAGAGTGTATATTAGTTTCCTAGGGCTGCAGTGACAAAGCACCACAAACTGAGTAGTTTAAAACAAGAAATTTATTCTCTCACAGTTCTGGAGGCTCTAAGTCTAAAGTCAAGGCTTCAGTGGGGCCATGTTCCCTCTGAAACCCATACTGGAGAATTCTTTTGTCCCTCATCTAGCTTCTGGTGTTTGTTGGTAATCCTGGGCATTCCTTGTCTTGTAGATATATCACTCCAATCTCTGCCTCCATCTTTATGGACACGAAGCATCTTCACTGGAAGAAATCTCTTTTTCCTTTATGCTGGTATTGCATTTAATTCTTATCTTTCTTGTGGTATTTATCTTGCATCATAGTTATTTATGATTGCATCTGTAGTAGGCAACTTTTCAGCTGTCTACCCAGACAACAAAATCTCTACGTTGGGAATAACAGTCCAAAATAGCAGGGGGAGAGTTCTATATTCATAGTACCTAATCACTGCCCCCCTCCCTTCATAGCTTATTAATGATGCCTGGGCAACTGACCAAATGGAATCAGTAAGATTCTCTCCCTAGGGAATCTGAATTTGGGACTCAAGCATTCTGTTGAGTCCCATTGTTTTTTACTACACTGAGGATATGTTAATCCAAGAATTGTTAGGGCCAGCAGAAAGCTCAGAGGAACAAAGAAAGTTGTTCCGAACAAAGGAGAATAAAGAAGTGTAGAGGGGAATGGCTGTAGTGTTAGAAGAAATAATAGGGAAAAATCAGGATGTTGAAATTTACTACTTCTTGTTGCTTTCATCAAAGTTCTGCAAGAGAGGAATTAACGCAAACTAGAACTGAGGAGGTCTGCAAGGAAACATAACAAGAAATACAGCATTTCTAAGGTAAGTGCTTTCTGCTTATGGACTATAGTCTAAATTGACCAATTGTTCCATAATTTGGAGACTTACAGGAGTGAAAAACAAATGGCTTCTGTATCTCAAAACTGAAGCTGGTACAATCAGTGGCAAGGAATTGGCAGCCATAGCTGAAGATACAACTGATGGTCTACGTCTTTCTCAAGTAGGTTCTCTTTAACAGTTCTCTGTCAGACCAAGGGAAAAACCCACTGACAGTGATCTAGTTATGAGTGATAGCTCACTAAGGTTATTTTAGGAATAGGGAAATGGGTAGAGTGCAGACATTGAGCACATAGAAAAGATAAAAGAAAACTTAAAAATATATACAAAAAGAAACACAGTGGAGTATTAGAATGGAGCCGGAGAAAATCCAGAATCCCCTGGTATTCCTCAAGGGCCTATTCCTATTAAAAGGAGGGCCAATACCTCAGATGCATCTTAAATGAAAGAAGATTAGCCGTGTCTCTCTTACCCTAGGGTGATTTTTTTGTGACCTCAATGCAAAAGCCAAGATGGAGGTCGTTTAACTGAGGGACTAGGGGCCTGGGCAGAGTCCTATAACCTATTGCTCAAGGACAGAAACATCTAGGCTAGTGTGAAGATTCAAGAACATGAGTTCACATCTTTTCCTTTGACTACCACCCCATGAAATATGATTTAAATCAAAGCCTATTGTGCTAGAATACAGAATCCTAGTTGCCTACCGCAATATCTCTTTTTCTCTTTCTTTAGTAACCGATTCCCAATTTTTATCTGGGCACACTACCATTTGCAATAAGAGACTAGACTACATTTCCCAACCTCCCTTACTTTATGCATGGTCATACCTTTAAGTTCTGGTCAATGAAACATAGACAACAGTGTTTCATGGACCTTCTGAGGAGTTTCCTTAGAAAAGATGGAGGCATGTCTTTCTTCACCTTTCCTCATCTTACTGCCTGGAATCTAGATATGATAGCTGGAGTTTTGTCAGCCATCCTGGGCCATGAGGATGATGGCCATACCCTAGGAAGCGAATTGCTACAGAAAAGCCAAGCCTGGCCAAAAAACCCCAAAGGCTTTTGATTTTCAACCCCTAAGGCAATCCCTATGTCACTGAACTCACATCCACAGGAAGAGGGTTTCTGAAATGGTGCAGTCTCTGAAGGGTAAACCTTCCTAATGCCCCTTTCAGGAATAGCCAAGTGGGACAATGCACAAGGGAGATGATCTCAGAGAAGAGAATCCGAGACATGCAGCTGGGCTGACCAAAAAGGCACTCTACTGCCAAGGAGTTCTTGCTGTTTATGTACATGATACATAAGTCAATATATTGATTGGCAACCTTCATGTATTGTATCAATTTTGTTTTGTATTTCCAAATGGGAGGTTTTATTTAGTTCATCCTGTTTTCCCTCTATTATTAGACACTGACTGTTTTGGATATGGTCAAATGTACAGTTTACCTATAGATGTGAAACCATGGGGAGCTACATCAAGACCTGCTCAAGATGACTGTAAGTCACTGAAGGATCTTGGGCTTAATGTTGGGTGCACTTGGGATATATGAGTTTGGATCGTCTTTCTATTTCGAAGGCACGAGTAATGAGTACATTTTCATTTGTGTATGGTATAGTGGTGTTATATTAGTTGAAGACCTTCTGTAAATTGGGTGGACTATCAAGTTTGTATGTTACTTTTGTCTGTCCAACATACGTTCCCAACTGTTCTGCAAACGGCACTTTGAGGGACCAACTCTTTTTTGCTCTCTCTCTCTCACTCTCCCCCTCTCTCTCTCTTTCTTTTTCAATCTTCAACTTCTAAGCAGAGATGTCCCCTTCCCTGGTTCAAAGAATAGGTGCATAAACTCTAACTCTAACCTGACCAATTAGAATGTCCTATCCCTTGGCATCAGGAATGGGCATGTGATCTAAGCAGATATAATCATGTGCCCAAAACTAGGCCAATGAATCAACCATTAGAATGAGACTGGAACTACTGAGAACAATGCATTCTCTTCTTTTATTTTTTTCCAGCTTTATTGAGAAAGAATTGACACATAATGTGTAATTTTAAGGTGTACATTGTGATGACTTGATACATGTATATATTGTAAATTGTTCACCACAATAGGTTAGTTAACATATCCTTCACCTCACATAATTACCATTTTGTTTTTGTTGTTATGGTGAGAACATTAAAGTTCTACTCTCTTAGCAACTTTCAAGTATACAAATATTATTAACTATAGTCACCATGTTCTACATTAGAGCCTCAGAACCTATTTACCTTATAACTGACAATTTGTACCTTTTGACCAACACCTCCCCATTTCTCTCACCCCTCAGCCCTTGACAACCACCATTCTACTGTTTCTGTGAGTTCAATGTTTTTAGATTTTACATATAACTGAGATCATACAGCATTTGTCTTTCTCTGTGACTTATTTCACTTAGGATAGTGTGATCAATGTCCATCCATATTATTGCAAATGGCACATTTTCCTTCTTTCTAATGGCTGATTAACATTCCATCACACACACACACACACACACACACACCACCTTCTTTATTCATTCATCCAACAATGGGCACCAAAGTTGTTTTCATGTCCCGGATATTGTGAATAATGTATTAATGCCATATGATCTAACAATTCCACTAGTAGGTATTTACCCAAAGAAAATGAAAGCACTAATTTTAAAGATATATGCATCCCTAAATTTATTGCAGCATTATTTACAATAGCCAAAGTATGGGAGCAACCTAAGTATCCATTGATAGATAAATGCATAAAGAAGATGTGATCACATGCGCACGCACACACACACACACACACACACACACACACACACACACTTGAATATTGCCCAGCCATAAGAGGAGGAGATCTTGCCATTTGTGACAACATGGATGGACCGAGAGGGAATTATGCTAAGTGAAATAAGACTGAGAAAGACAAATACTATACAATTTCACTCATATGTGGAATCTAAAAACAAAACAAATGAATACACAAACAAAAAGCAGAATCAGATACAGAGCACAAACTGTTTGTTGTTAGAGAGAAGGGGGGGGAGGGATGAGCAAACTGGATGAAAGGGAGTGGGAGATACAGGCTTCCAGTTATAGAATAAGTAAGTCACAGGAATAAAAGGTACAGCATAGGGAATATAGCCAGTGGTATTGTAATAGCACTGAATGGGGACAGATGGGAGCTACACTTGAGAGCACAGCATAAACTAGAGACTTGTCCAGTCACTATGTTGCACGCCTGAAACTAATGTAACATTGCGTGTCAACTATATTTAAAAAAATCCACATTGGGGCGCCTGGGTGGCGCAGTCGGTTAAGCGTCCGACTTCAGCCAGGTCACGATCTCGCGGTCCGTGGGTTCGAGCCCCGCGTCAGGCTCTGGGCTGATGGCTCAGAGCCTGGAGCCTGTTTCCGATTCTGTGTCTCCCTCTCTCTTTGCCCCTCCCCCGTTCATGCTCTGTCTCTCTCTGTCCCAAAAATAAATAAACATTGAAAAAAAAATTTTTTTTTAAAAAAAATCCACAATGAGGTATCACCTCACATCGGTTAGAGTGGCTATTGTAAAAAAAATAACAAAAAACAAAAACAAGAGATAACAAGTGCTGGTGGGGATGTGTAGAAAAGGGAAGCCCTTGTACACTGTTGGTGGGGATGTAAATTGGTGCAGCCACTGTGGAAGACAGTATGGAGGATCCTTAAAAAATTAGAAATAGTACTGCACTTTCTTTTAGATTGCTAATCTAGTTAGATGCAAGGGTAGACCTTCTAATAATCATGGAGGGAACTGGAGCTTAGAAAAGGAGAGTGGTGGATCCCTAACATCACAGCTTGAGCAGCAGCATACAGCTGTGCTTGAAGCCAAACCATCCCTGGATCTTTCAACTCCTTGACCTAATACTATGATGTCCTCTTAAACAATCTTTATTTTGAATTTTTTCACTCATAACCAGAAGAACTCTGACAAATAGACACCCATATCCTTATAATGTACTACTGTTATTACCATTTTACCTATTTTGTTTGTTTATTTAGTTTTGAGAGACAGAGAGACAGAGACAGAGTACAAGCAGGGGAGGGGCAGAGAGAGAGGGAGGCACAGAATCTGAAACAGTCTCCAGGCTCCGAGCTGTCGGCACAGAGCCCGACGCAGGGCTCAAACTCATGAACCGCGAGATCACGACCTGAGCCGAAGTCAGACCATAAGATCATGACCTGAGCCGTTGCTATGAGCATTGAGCTTTAATGTTCTCAACATAACAACAATGACAACAAAATGGCAATTATGTAAGGTGAAGGACATGTTAACTAACCTTATTGTGGTAAACATTTAGTGATATATAAGTGCATCAAATCATCAAATTGTATACCTTAAACTTGCACATGTTATACGTCAATTATATCTCAATAAAGCTGGAAGAAAATGACCATATTAATAATCTTTAGTTGTACAGTTTGGTGGCATTAAATATATTCACATTGTTTTGCAGCCATTACTACAATCCATCCCCAGAACTCTTTTCACCTTTCAAAACTGAAACTATGTCCCCATTAACAATACTTTCCCTTTCCCCTGTCCCCAGCCCCCTGGAAGCCACCATCTACTTTCTGCTTTTATGAATTTGACAGCTCTGGGTACCTCATATACGTAGAATCATACAGTATTTGTCCTTTTGTGAATGGCTTATCTCACTTAGCATAATGTTCTCAAAGTTCATCCATGTTGTAGCATGTGTCAGAATTTCATTCCTTTTTAAGGTTGAATAATATTCCATTGCATGGATATACCATTTTTGTCTATCCATTGATGGACACTTGGGTTGCTTCCACCTTTTTGGCTGTTGTGAATAATACTGCTATGAACACGGGTGTACAAAAATCTGTTTGAGTCCTTGCCTTCAATTGAGTCATCTGCTTTTAAAGAAACATGTAAGCTACGGGGCCCCTGGGTGGCTCAGTCGGTTGAACCTCTGACTTCGGCTCAGATCATGATCTTGTACTCCGTGAGTTTGAGCCAGCCCCACGTCGGGCTCTGTGCTGACAGCTCAGAGCCTGCAGCCTGCTTTGGAGTCTGTGTTTCCTCTCTCTGCCCCTCTGCCTCTCATTCTCTCTCTCTCTCTCTCTCTCTCTCTCTCTCTCTCTCTCAAAAATAAATAAACATTAAAAAAATTTTTTTAAGAAACATGTAAACTTGGGTAGTGAGCATATTGAATAGTGTGGACATAAGACTAGAATACCTCTCTCTGAATGTTTATACTGTGTAAAACTCTCAAGGTCCTTGAATGAGCATCTGGGGGAGGAAGAGGGAAAGGTTTTAAATTATTTATCAGTCCATCAGATGGAGACTCAGAGAAAATTCAATTTAAATTGGAGAAATAAAGAAACCTTATACTCATTTTGTGGAGTATCTTCCTAGCTGCTATACTGATTTGACTGAATTTCTATTATTTGCCACAAAATGAGATTTAACTCTAACATATTTTCTCCTCTCTTGGTTTATAAGGTCTTTTATAATGGAATCTATATCTGAGTAATTTCTTTTTATTCTCCACAAGAGAAGTATCAAAAAAAGGTTAATTATATGAAATAACACTAGGAGATCTGTGATGCTCTGGAGAACAGTATGGAGGTCCCTCAAAAAATTAAAATAAAACTACCCTATGACCCAGCAATTGCACTATTAGGTATTTACCCAGAGGATACAAAAATACAGATTCGAAGGGGTATATACACCCCAATGTTTCTAACAGCATTATCAACAGTAGCCAAAGTATGGAGAAAGCCCAAATGTCATTGACTTATGAATGAATAAAGAAGATGTGGTATATATATGTATGTATGTATATACATATACATTCTTTTTAATGGCTGAGTAATATTCCTATATATTATATATAGGAATATATATACTCATATATGAATATACTCATATATATGAATATTACTCAGCCATTAAAAAGAATGAAATCGTGCCGTTTGCAAGGATGTGGCTGGAGCTAGAATGTATTATGCTAAGCAAAATAAGTCAATCAGAGAAAGACAAATACCATATGATTTCACTCATGTGTGGAATTTAAGAAACAAAACAGATAAATATATGGGAAGGGGGGAAGAAAGGGAAGGGAGAGAAACAAACCACAAGAGACTCCTAATGACAGAGAATAAACTGAGGGTAGATGGAAAGAGGTGGGTAGGCGATGGGCTAGATAGGTGACAGGTATTAAGTGGGGCACTTGTGATGAGCACCGGGTGTTGTATGTAAGTGATGAATCAGTGAATTCTACTCCTGAAACTAATATTGCACTGGATGTTAAGTAACTAAAATGTAAGTAAAAAAAAGAGATCTGTGATATATCTGAAACATAAGGTTACCAGGGAGGCCAAAAGGGCATTTCTGTGATCTGTTCATTCAACACATATTACATTTATTTATTTATTTATTTATTTATTTATTCATGTTTATTTATTTTTGAGAGACAGCACA